CCCTACAACGGACTTAAATACGACACTGCAGATTTACATCACTCAAATCATACACCTGACAGTATGAGATGAACAAGGGACCTTTGAGAGCACTCATTCCTCACAACTAATGTTCCTTTCAGCTTTCGAGGTGTAACATTTTCAGCTGTCTCAAAGAAAGGGAACCTTACCGCCTCACAGGAGATCTGCTTCTTCTGTGCCTGGGAGGGGGAGGCATTCGCCTTGGAGGGCTCCTTCTCCTTGGAGACGGCCGTCGTCTTGGGCTTGGTCGCCTTCTAGGGGAGTAAGACCTGTCATAATCAGAAATTCAAATGAAAAGCAACTATCTAATTTTCAGATTTGAGGAAATTTATCCTCAGGGCACTGAGCGGGAAGTTGCTTTTCTCCAAGCGCATCACATTAAAGTAGCATTTAGATTGTGATGCAAAGGACATTCAGACACAATCAGTGCTTAAAGTTTCCCAACACCTCTCTACTAAATATTAAAATAATTCAAAACAAGGAGGAAAAACAGGAAAAAAAAAAGTAATTACACCTTCAGCATCAAACCTATCTCCTAAAATGCTACGCAATCCCCACCATCTAACAAGTGCCACACTCCGCAGTGAGCACCCCATTCCTTCTCCAGTCAGTGTTAGTCACTGTGAGCATGTTCTCATGAACTGACAGGAAGAAAACAACTCCCAAACACGTTTATCCATTGAAGGCATCTTTCTCATTTCACCTAAGGCATCCATAGCTTAACTGCTCTTAGAACATCACTATTTACCTGAGAATATTACATTAAGTGGCACCTTCAGAAGAAAACATTCAGTTCTCAACCTTCATAATCAAGATGAAGTCCTACCTTGACCGTGATCTATGACGCCTTCTTGGTCGAGAATGAGATGGAGAACGTGATCGAGATCTTGACCTTGACTTGGACCGAGTTGGGGATCTTTGACGAGTCTTATCTTTTTCCTTCTCTCTCTCCTTCTTTGAATTACGTTCTGGTGAAGTTTCCTTAGTCTCTGGTACAGGAGGTTCAGGTTTAGGAGCTTTTGGGATATCACTGTTAAAAATAAAGATTTAATTTTAATAATCTTACTAAGAATATTAAATAGATTGCAGACGGACAAGTAGAAGTAGACACTCCCCCAAATCAAGATCCAAACAGGTATCGAGATAAATTCCATTTTTCAAAAGGTAATATATAGCTCTGCACACAAAGCTATCAGACTTACCTGTTTGAAGTTGGCTCTTGAACAACAGTCTCCTTTGGTTTCACAGAGGGTTCTGGCTCAGGAGTCGCCTCTTTCTTTTCCGGTGCAGGAGTGGCACTACGGCTCTTGGTTCTGTGGTGAGGGGAGCGAGAATGGCTGCGCTTCCGCTCCCTTCTGACAGGCGACGACCGCCTTCGAGGGGAAGGAGACCTTGATTTGCGCCTGGGAGAAAGAAGTGCCACTTAATAGCATAATGAAACAGTGTATAGGATAACAAACGCTGTGCTATTCAGCAGCTGAGAGCTCTTCTGGATCAGGTAGACTCTCAGTACTGTTTACAGCAGTCCTATCACATGCAGAACTGCTTTGTACTTACTTTCTGCTAGCAACTGGCAGACAAATTAAAAAGCCAAACAAAAAATCCAGACCCCCAAAACCAAAACAGCCTGAACAGATAAACCATTGCATGCAGTTCCTAGTGTAAACAATAGCTATGTCAAAGTTGCTCTAGTTTACTTGCAGTCACTGTTCAGTACAAGCCAAGCTAGCCCCCAGGAACTGCTAAGTGAAGTAGTCATTCTTCTGTGCCATGTGTGCCTCACTCTGCTGTAGAGGACCACTGATACACTGTGCATTTTCATTACCTTCTTGGACTCCTGGATCTGTCTCTTTTTTCTCTGTTGTCTTTGTCTTCCTTATCTCTCTTCTCCTTGTCTTCATCTTGTTTCTTCATAGAAGCCAGTTTCTCTTGCTCTATCTGTACAACCAAATATCACCACTTAACTCCGAGGCATCATAAAGACCTTATTAAATATGTATGTCAAACAACAACAACAAAAACCATACTGCTTCAGGACTAAGATATGTTGGCCAGACAGAAGAGCTCTGCTGAACACAAAATGTCTACTTAAATACCAACAGGTGGACAGCCATAATTCTGCTCTGTGCTCACAACTCATCCACAGTTCTCTTAAGAAATCCTACCTGTCGCTGTTTTATTTCTTCTTTCTTCAGCTCCAGAAATGCAGTTGGAATACCAGCAATGTTTTCCTGTGCACTTAATAGCAGTGGCCACAGTTCTCCCATGAACTCCCTAGCATTTTTCCCATTCAAAAAACCAGTCAGGTTGATTTGCATCATTTTGGAATCTGGATTCTGCAAAGAGATGACAGGAAGACAAACAGGTTATCTGAAAAAACAACATCCAGTCTATATTAAACTTAAATTAAAGCTACCGTGGGGGCTACAATACATATACACTCAAGAACTAATCTTTCCCTAGTGATTTCTCATCAATATAAGTTTACTGTACTATTTATTCTGTTGTGTCTTACCATAAATATTCAGAAAGGCCTGTTAATCCTTTGTGGGTTTCGGAAGTAGTTTTGGACTGTGTACCCGCTATACAGGAGATGGGGGCTTA